GAAAATTCTAAATTCTTAAATCAATTTATGGATGTTTTATTTCCTCAAGTCTATACCTAACTCTTAGCTTCTAGGTCATTGGTTCTCAACCTTCCTAATGCCACAACCCTTTAATACAGTTGCGACCCACAGGTTGAGAACCGTTGCTCTAGCTCAATTGTACCAGTTCATTGATTAACCAGGCAGTGATAACAGGGAACGAGGGCAAATATTGCTGTATAGCTACTTATATTAAGATTTGGACATAATATATACCTTTCTTCATGATATCTGACAAAATTTCCCCAAAGTTCTCATTTGAGGTTTTATTCCTTTAAAGATTTTTGGCTAAACCGATTCTAAAGATTTTTGACTAAACTGATTCTTGAGGTGGTGAGGGTTTATATAATGAGGCTTGACCAATTTAGGGAAGGGGTACACTAGGCAAGTTCTGAGTCTCTTTATAAATTACCATATCAAAAGCAAACCCAACTGGTGTCAGGTCTTGGTAATTCAAAGAGTCATTCTTGGGCTTATATAAGTACATGGAGCAACAATTTGTTACCTTCTAATGTCTGAGCAAGTCATAGCACTTCACAGATAAAAGATCTGAGCCATTTTATAACTCCCATCGGTGGGAATAGAAAAATGCTAACAGCCACCCTGCCAAATAAATTCAGCCATTCCTGAAAACTAGAAGTTGTCACCAATGCAAATTTAGAAACACAAAGGCTTTTATCTGTAACAATTAATTTTCTGAACTTATTTAAATACAGATTTTAAAATACATATTACTTAATCATTGGTTTACAAAAAAAGTAAATAAAACCTTGCCAAATGAACAGGAACTTTGTACATGTCCAGTATCTGTTATATAGGATTTTTCATATCTACATGTGTATCCCAACCAACCTTGTTTAAATTTAGATTAGCTGCTCTTCCCCAAGGGGACTCTTTCACTTCTTGGTCCAGTAAACTGCATCAGTTCTTGCTCCTAGAATAGCATTACATTTTGTAACCTCATGTAGAAAGAACACAGTGAGCTAGAACTAGCTCTGTCTTTTTTATTTTTCTGAAGGTAATCATAAAACCTTTAAGCTTAGATCATATTTAAAATCAGTTTAAGACTTGTGTATGAGAGTGACATTTATAGGAGCTAAATCTGAACTCTGTGTCTCCCAACCCCAAATTATATTTTGACATTTAATATCATGTTTCTATCCAGCATTATAAATTGCAGGGCTGGATTTGGTTTGGTGATATGTATTATCTATGCTCTCCTTTACAATTTTTGTCAATAGCCGCCTTGAGGAGGGTGAAGTGGAGAACTCTAGACTCCAACAATGATGACATGTGAGGCAAAACGTGATGAACTTCATTCCTAAATTAAGAAAACTTAAAAAAGAAAAAGAGAACTTGGACACATACATTATAAGGACATCATCAGCTGAAATTCCCAGGGAAATAAGATGTAATAAAAATAGATTTACTAATAACTTAAGGGTAACTAGTCTCCCCACTTACAAAAGCTGCCTAAAATGTCTGAATATGCTTTCTAGCCTTATTCAATCTTATTTTGCCGATGATCTTAATGAAACACTGAGGGAGTCATCTTTATATCCCATACACACATTTTACCATCCTATCTAGCTATGTTGCTTTATGGTGATCACTTACTATGTACTAGGTATTTATCTCTGTTAATTCTTTTAGACAGTGAGCTTCTTGGGGATAGGGGTCAAATATCTCTTGTTTAAAGTTGTCCCTCCATCATGTGGCACAGTGCCTGGTACATAGAAGGGATGTTAGACTTGGTCCTCTGAGAAGCAGATGCCAGTTGGATTAACATCTAATCCAATAAGGAATTAGATGTGCAAGGGATTTACTGGGGAAAACACTTATGAAGGTAAATAAGTGTGGAAGAGCCATGAGACCATGGTGCAGATCTGATCTCTCTGGAGAGAGGAAAGAAAGAAAGGCTGAGAAGGAAGAATTTTAGACCACAGTGCAGTTTTAAGAAAGTTTTGGGGCTCAGCGCCTGTGGCTCAAGTGGCTAAGGCGCCAGCCACATACACCTAAGGTGGTGGGTTCGAATCTAGCTCAGGCCTGCCAAACAACAATG